GTCCAATGAGAATCGCGTAACGAAATCTACATCCGGTTCGTAAACTGCCATGCAGATTTCGGTCGATTGTAGGATTTCAAAAGCATGTGTACCGACAACTTAGCGTGAACAGATATTTTCCAAAGCTGTTCATGTTTTTAATCAAGATTCTCACATGATTAGACCCGTTACGTCACAATATAGATTGTGATTATCGATGAGATCGTCTGCACTGGGCGCAGCCATTTTATTTGACGCAAATGCAAGTGATGTGAGAGGTGAAATTTCATTGGCCAATATGAGGGAAATAAAAGGGACATAACCACTGGTGGCGCTACCATCTAGCCCGGAAATATCAGCCTAGTTCGACAAGGGTGGAAACTGGATAAACAGGGTATATATTTCAAATCACTATCTCTCAAGAATCTTTTTAATACTATTAGTTCTCATTGATTTATGGTTTTCAAAGGAAATTGAATTGATTGGAAAAATTTGATTAGAAATGTTTTGTATGAAATCTAAAGGTCGTTTAAAAATTGGTAGATCAAATTTGCAAACTGAGATTGTTAGTGGCTGTATTCTTGAAGGGGGTTAGAGAACTATTAAATTAGTGTGCCCCTAAGAGGATACGTGCCACATCTTTCAAAGTACATTTAAGCCAATCCCATTTTTAATCGTATTATATTTGTTAGTTTTTAAGGTGTTTTGTTATGTATTGTGATATGGTGTTATGGTTCCATAGTTTTGAATATGTCCTTTGCCTACAGTTTTAATTAGAAAGTCTAAATATATCGTTTTGATACCTAATTTGTTGTAGTCGCGATGTGGCTGATATACTGCCGTTGTTACTATAAATCTTAATTCACTCACATGGTGAACGAGTTCTCGTTGACAGGGTACAGGGGCATTATGTTCTGGAAAATTTTCTTTCCCGTGGAGCGTCTACAACACAGGAAAAAACCTTTCACCGACTGCACTAAATTATGAGTCAAGTACAAAGGCGTTTCTCTCACAATGACTAATACATTCATGACTACTGAATACCTTCTTTGAGAATTTATTTGCATTCCCTAAACGCGTCTTCTCTGCACTAAATGTCCAAGGTATCCCTAGGTATTGCGTCACATCGGCAATATTTCAGCCATATAATTGATAAGTTAAACATTGACAACAAATATATTTACATTGTAAAAATGCCAGTACAATAACTAGAGTATCGCAGAATTTAGTTAAAACTAGTTGGAGAAGACGTAGAAGAATAAACTATCATTCAACAACAAAATATAAAATCGCGCTGTAGATCGCCAGCAACCAAAGTTAGGCACAATACAAGGGACCCTTGGGACTTTCAATAATTTTGCTACCTGCACAGTTCCCCATCAGGATATAACCATCCCTTCGATGCTGGCGATTATATACAATTAAAATTTACAAATATAATTCGATTAAAACTATGGTAAGAATAACATACTTTGAAAGACATAGTCTTATGATTACCTCTCAGGGGGACAATAATATAAGTACTTCAACCCCCGTCAGGGCACAGCCTCAAACAAATCAATTAATAATTGTACATTAAAAAAATATCAATGAGTTCAATCTCTCTTAAAAAAACGATAATTGAACGAGAGCTGATATTGTCAAAAAGATCCTTTATGGATGACATTTTGAAATAGTTATCCCTTGCGATGGAAAAATCAATACAGTCAAGCAGGACACGTTTGATCGTGTTTCCAATCTGGACTGATAACCCAAGTAGGTGTTACCGATATTTGGTTATATTGCACGACTTTATTGAAACAATAAATAGTTCCAGTGCCTTCGGGCATATTGCTTAAATATATTTTATATGATGCAAGAATATAAGATGATTGTCAAAAATGATACCCAAGAACTTGGCTTCCTTTACTTCTCACACATATCTGTAAATGCCTATCCGTTAAAATCTGTGGCGAACGGCCTCTCAACCCATCTCATGAAGATCCTTGAAAATTCCATGTTCCAGGTCGTATTGTATGTTTTTTTCTAAATCGAAAAATATAGATGCTGTGTGTTGATATCATTTTTAACAAATGATTCTCATCTATCTAAATGGTACTTCTATCATTTCTAAAACCACACTGGATATTCGTCTCTAAGTACCATATTAATCTGTTTTTGACTATTCTTTCCATGGTGTTACAAACACAGCTGGTCAGCGATATTGGCCTAATATTAGAGGGATCAGTGGTATCCTGGCCAGGTTTTGGTATTGGAATGGATAACAGCATTTCGCCATGATGAAGGCAAATTACGTTGTCCAGATATGATCAAATCTATCTGATAAAGCTTCTTAAGTGGAGTCAGGTACATGTTTAAATAACTGATAGCGGATATTATTATTACCTGTAGCAGTATCGTGAGCTTGCCCTGTGGCAGTAGCTGAGGAATGGAAGAGACTTCATTATTATGTTCAATTTTATCAGAGTTTAAATTGATTTTCTTTCTTTCTTGTTGGTCTTTAAATTTCTGGAATTTTGGTACATAATTAGATAATGAAGAATGTTTAGCTAAAGCTTCTCCTAGTCTATTGCTATGTCTGATTCATTAGTAAAGAGTGCATCACCCTCCTTGAGATGGTGAACGCTAGGGTTAGAACCTTTCTACCCTTTGCCCCATATTCAATTCCTTGTTTGGGAATTTATTTTAGGAACATAGTTTCGCCAGGATATTTTGTTTAATAGTACGACGGGCTTTTGCATTTAATATTTTAAATTAATTTAAGTTATGGACAGTGGGGTAGTGGTGGAAATATTTCTTTGCCTTTTTCCTAGCTTTCCTTGTGGAAGGAGGACTATCAGATGGATTTACTGGTGAAAGGATAGTTGGGAAATGGTCACTTCCATAAAGGTCATTGTGGACTGACCATTCAAATTCGTTGAGTAAGTTAGAGTCTGTATGGCACCAATCTAGAGAAGACTAGTGCCAGTGGCGGGTTGTAGATACGTATGGGAGTCATCATTAAATAGGCATAAATCGTTATTGGATATGAAATCCTCAAGTATTTTACCTTTAGTATTGGTGTGTGCACCGCCCCAGAGTGTGTTGTGGCCATTATTACAGTGCTTCGGGGGTTGATAATGGAGAGTTTGAAGAGATGAAGAAGGCAGAATATACAGTGAACACAATGTAATTTTGATTGATTGATTGGTTTGCTGTTTAACGCCGCACTCAGCAATATTCCAGCTATATGACGGCGGTCTGTAAATAATCGAGTCTGTACCAGACATTCCAGTGATTGATATCATGAGCATCGATCCACGCAATTGGGATCGATGACATGCATCAACCAAGTCAGCGAGCCTGACCACCCGATCCCGTTAGTCGCCTTTTACGACAAGCATAGTGACCTTTTACTGCAAGCATGGGTTGCTGAAGACCTATAACACAATGTAAATGCTACGTTCAAAGTACAACTGCAACTGCTTGTAGATACTAATCTACAAGCATTAGGTATGACAGGGCTATCAATAACATCCTGCCTCACAAGGATTGAAGCTATTTCAGTGGCCTTATCACCCAGAGGAGACAACGAATGATATGCATTGAACTGACGTAAGATAAAATTATCTGTCTGCTTTTAGCTACGTTTCATGCAGACAGAATGCTGAAGGTTTAACAACTTGTACTAATAGCTGTAAATCATTAAACTTAGTCCCCAGTCCTCTACAATTCCACTGTAGAATGTGTGAACAATTTTGACTGGGGATCTACCCCGTGGGGGTGACAAGCTATGTGTCCTATGATGGCTGTTGTCAAACACATCCATGTCTCCAAGGAATCCAAACTACCACTTTGATATTTTGGGGATGATTCTGGTCTAGGTTTGATTTTGGTTTAAGCAATTTGTTTTACATTTGATTTAGGCTGTTGAGCTAATTTGGGTGATTGTTCCTGAGATAAAGACGAATCCGCTGCACAAGATGCCTGTGATTCAGTATTTATTTGACAGGTCCTGTGAAGTCTTAGCTGGACTGCTGCAGATAGCAAGGTAGGACCAGATGTTTTTTCACAGGTGTGCAGGTTTAAGTGTAGGTCAAATGTAACTCCTAAGAATTTTGCCTCCTTTTGGAAATTAATTTCTTCATTATGTAAGCGTAGTCTTGGTGTGTAATGTGTGATAAATGATTTTTTTAAGAGCGTGTCAATTTTTTAGAATTTATGTGAAATTCCCACTTGGTAGACCATTTTTGAATACTGTTTAGTGCAGATTTTATTTTGGTTTTTATTTGTGTTACTGAAGTGAAAGAGGTCCAGAGGAGATGTCATCTACAAATGTTGATGTTGATATATTATTAGTTTGGATGGAGTTTGGAAAAATGTCGTCGATCATGAAACTGAAAAGAGTCGGCGACAGTATGTTACCTTGTTGGGTGCCATTTTGTAATGGGTGGGTGTCTGAAAGTGTATCATGTGATGTTAAAGAAAGAAATACTAAAACCTATGAATGTGGCCAAAGTGTAATGTTTTTGGGCCTGTGCTGTTCTAAATGCTTGTTCCTAATGTGAAAAGTATGTGTTTGCCTATTTGGTGTGCAGCCACTCCATGATTTTATAGATGTGAGAAGTGAGCGATATGGATCAATTTTGGGATTTCCCTGGTTTCAGGACTGGTTCTACTTTGGCATTTTCCATAGATTGATGGGCGCATGGAGAGTTTATTAAGTTGAAACTTAAGTTTATCCATGATGATAAATATAAGTGATGATTCTCGTAATAAATGAGTCAGCAACTTCCTATAACTTATTCTTCTACAAACGAAGTAAAGAAGTGCCAGAAGATATAAGGGTTTCAAAACCCATTTGATACTGATGTCAACCAATTAGCAGTTCATCACACAGTTGTTACAGTACATGTACAATACTCTTGATACTTAGAAGCAGGCCCGTGAAGATTCCGGGGTTCGCCTCTTCAATAATGTTCGATCAGTGGAATACAAAACAAATATTACATGCTAATGATCTGTGTGGATTTTATTTACAGCAGATGCTAATAGCTTCAATCAATACATCCTTCAACTTGTAGGGAGATAATTAAGATTTACTTAATTTCTGAAAGTCCACGAATTTAATCTCATCGTCTATATCAAGACGAACAATGAATCTCCTCTTCCCATTGCCCGACTGAATGACGTAAGCAGATCCATCCATGCCGAGGAACGTCACACGGGCATTTGTCCAGGTGTCGGGTGAATAATTGTCAATGTTCGTGATGCACGTTTGGATTTGTCGTCTTAATACTTGTTCAGCTTCGCTATTTTCCGATCCTTCATGTCCAACAACCCCTACTATCAGTTTTCCAAGGGACCTTTTGTTGATATCTTCCACTGTGACCTGGAATGTAATTACACATCAACGCGGGCTTATTACATCGTACAATTATTCGTGTTAAGTTGTGCCAGCAAGGCCGAGTGAATGAGTGAGTGAGTTGGGTTTAACGTCGCTTTTAACAGTATATCCAGTTAACGGCGTGTCAGCTTAATGTGGGAGGAAAGCCCGAAGTGATGCAGGTCTAAGACGTTTACCACTTCGGTGAAACCCACGAGAACGGGTATGGTGATGACAAACCTAGAAACATAATTGGGGCGAACCGGGATTCGAACCCACAATCATAGGTTTCTGGCACAGAGATCGCGGCGCCTTAGACGACTGGGCCACCCGTGCCCCCCAGCAAGGCCGAGAGGCACAAGGGGTGCTTTATTGTAATTGAGCTCTGGCACGTCTATAATAAAATTACAGATGGTAAAATAGAATAGACCGTATTCGACGTAATAAGCGCTCTGCTCTAATAAGCGCCCACTGCGATATTTGCTAATATATTGGTTAGCGAACAATCCCAATCCGATGGATCTTGACACATTTACATTTATTTAGCATTTAACATGTCAAGAGTACTTACATACACTTCAGCAGAATCTTCAGTAAAACCCTTCCTGTCGCTTATCTGCATGAAAAAAAACATGACTTTCAAAGATATTGCGCCATTGAGTGAACCATTTGATTGATTGGTTTGTTGTTTAACGCCGCACTCAGCAGTATTCCAGCTATATGACGGCGGCCTGTTAATAATCGAGTCTGGACCAGAGCATGGGTTGCTTAAGACCTATTCTACCCCGGAATCTTCACGGGTCAGCTAAACATTGACAACAAATATATTTACATTGTAAAAAAACGAATGACAGTACAATAACTAGAGTATCGCAGATTTTAGTTAAAACTAGCTGGAGAAGACGTAGAAGAATAAACAATGATTCAACAACACAATATAAAAACGCGTTGTAGATCGCCCGCAACCAAAGTAAGGCCACAATACAATTTAAATAATTCTGCTACCTGCACATTTCCGACCCGTGAAGATTCCTGGGTAGAATAGGTCTTCAAACTCCGATGCATGCCGTAAAAGGTGACTATGCTTGTCGTAAAAGGCGACTAGCGGGATCGGGAGGTCAGACTCACTGACTTGGTTGATGCATGTCATCGATCCAAATTGCGTGGATCGATGCACATGATGTCAGTCACCGGATTGTCTGGTCCAGAATCGATTATTTACATATAGCTGGAATATTGCTGAGTGCGGCGTTAAACAACAAACCAACCAACCAATTGTGTGGGTCGATGCTCATGACATCAACCATTGGAATTTTCTGGTCCAGACCCGATTATTTACAGACCGCCGTCATATAGCTGGAATATTGCTGAGTGCGGCGTCAAACAAAAAACCTCAAACAAATCAATGTGAAATAATATTACATTTCAAATGTCAGACTAACCTTGCCCATCTCACCCCATGGTAGCCAACTGGTTATGTATCCAATCTATGAAAATACAAGTAACACCTTACATAGGGCAGTGATGTGGATTGTAGTAAGGTGAAACGAAACAGTTGCAGTTGACACTGCACTACATCCAAGAAACATGCACACGTTTACCGATACCAAATGACAACAATGTTAATCTGAATGCATAGACAGCCTTCAACCATGTGACTATATCACAGAACACTGGTAAGAAATTTACAGCCAACGGCACGGTTTGATAGAAAGACGAAATTCTTTAATTGAAACGTTGTTCAGACTCACTTGATTTCCCATGTTCGACGAGTCAGGAGTGTTTCAATCCTTGAGCCTTGTCTGAGCATTGACCAATATGCTTCCTTTATTTAACCAACCAGCAGACGTGGATATCTAGACGTTGAGTGACACATTATTCTTCCAATCGAAATACAGCTACTATCTATGTGCCTGTTTAAACTGTTTTTTCAGTTTATCCGCTGACAAACAGCTGCAGCCATGGGTTCAGTAAGTAATGTCTTTTATTGATGTGACAATTTACTACCAGTGCGTGGTTACTTTGCTTCAGTAGACGCTTAAGTTGATTATTAGTAAATTGATTTCATATTTTACAGTTTCCAGAAATAAAATAAAAAAAACCCAACTCTTTTTCACAAAACTCGAAGGCCTTCTTTCAGAGTATTGCTGAATCAAATCGACCTTACACTTTGACTGTTATCTGTTCTGCAAAAAGACGTCGCGCCCATAAACATATTGTTTAAACATATTCTATTGACAAAAGACCGACGTTAAAAGATGGTACTTGTTGTTACCCTGTCTGGCGCTCGGCATTAAGGGGCTAAAACAAGGACTGGTCGGCTCGGAGTCAGTATACTGTGTCTGAGTGGGGTATTCATGTTAAACTACAAGCACTCGGCATTAAGGGGCTAAAACAAGGACTGGTCGGCTCGGAGCCAGTATACTGTGTCTGAGTGGGGTATTCATGTTAAACCACAAGCAGCAGCCCCCCCCCCCCCCCCCAACACAAAAAACACACACACACACACGCTTTTAACTGACTTAGAAACCCGTCTCTGTTTATATTCCAGGCCTCATCAAGAAGCAGGAATTTCCACGGAGAGGTGAGAAGAGTATTTCATGTCTTCACTTCCGTGGGATAAGGCAGATAATCATACTAAATTTATACCACAGCTTTACAATTATGTTCAAAACGGACCCTTTTTACATAGAAATGATTAAACGACAACTATCGTTATTGTCAGCGGTGATTGTACTTAATTTTGTCTGTTTGTGCTTTAGGTGATTTATTGTGGAGGGTGCGTTACTCATTCGGATGTGGCGATCTTTATCGCGTCGCGCAAGTTCCAAGAGGGCGACAGAAAGTTGCTTCAAGGATGCTACCGTCTTTTTGAATCGAAGCCAGATTTCGTTTGGAAAAATTGCGCAATCGAAGTTATGTGCTCGTCATTTAGTGTCAAATTCGTATCTGGAGATGAAACCAATCGATACATAATACGTCTAGAAGACGGGGTTCCTAACACGGCGACTATGCGTGAAGGATTTCGCACCAAATTCCACCAAGTCTATGACTGGTTAATTTCACACGCGAAGGGAATTGTAGATGGCTTTGCAGGATTTATCAAGGATAGCCCCGAAAAAGTACTCCAGCTATTAGCAAAGTGAACGTGGTTTACGGTTTGGGAAGTTACCAGAGAGGCAGACCTGGTAGAAATATATTATGATGGTAGAATGGGTTTCTTCATGGAAGATGGAAACTTAACAAGGGAAGCAAACCGATGATTGGTGATTAGCAATAGACAATGGAAGCCAACACTTTACAGTAATTAGCGCTGATAATTATGGACAACTGGAAGCCAGGGCTAAACTATCACTGATTATTTCCACGTTTTGTTATCTTATTACTTTTGTTGTTCTCTCTGTCTAATAACATGCATTCACCTGATGATTGAGTAAGCCTATAGTCCGAAACATTGCGTTCCTCATAATAAAGAGGTTGACATCCATCAATTCTCTTCCTTGTGTGTATCACTTCTAAATGCCTTTCAAAGACTTGTTCTCAATATCTTCAGCATATAATTTTGTCTTATCTACATTGTACGTGTATATTTGTTTCATATTTTATTGTCATAATAATTAAATTCTAGTTTCCAATGTTATAATATAATTAGTATTTTACTACAATATAACTTGGTACAAAGCAAATGTTATTTAATACCAAGAAAGTTATAGCTTATTCATTTCCTTCTGAACTTATGGTATCTCTTAATAACTGGGTGGTATGTTCGATCTGAAGTTCGACCCTTCTGGTTCAACGCATGTAGAAAGTTCATTGATCACGCCTTGGAAAGGGCCAGTTGATTATGAAAGATCAGCGACAGATCAAAGTTATGAATATTGATTCATGGCTATGAATTTATCAGGCAAAATGGATTACATCGATGTGTGTGTTATTACTGATGCTCTAATTGTATTTTTTATATATCATTATATATTTGCACATTGTCAAAAGCCCGCGGGCCCGCGAGTGAACTTTCATGCATTTTATTGGTATACAATTCTGATCAGCCTGGCTCATAGTTTGGTATTTATGCAATTAAGACCTGTTTCACATGCGCATATGTTCTGTATTTCTGTTTTCCAAACATTAGCAATTATATTATTTAAGATTATCCGCCCTATAATATTACTAATGATAATACTAAAACACCAAGGAATACAACCTTGCACCAGACCATGTATATATGCATAAACTATATGAAATAAACAATTATTGATAATGTTAGAAGCTGTTTGTGCGATTTTCTGCAATCCGAAATATGTCTTTGACGGATAGTGTATTAAACTACAACTCTGGGAACAATAAAACGCCGCCCTTTTTGTGGTGATTATGGCCGCAAAATACAGTCTTTACAATGCAATCGAAAATCTTTTGCTGATATGATAATTCAAGAGTGGGTATAAATGTTTAAAATTTGAAAAAAACACTTTTCAAGGTTAATTTTTAGGAGTGAATAGTTTTTCTTCAACATCACATTAAATGTATCACGAAAAACATGACCCATCCTGAAACAAAATATGAGACAGAAGACTCTTCAAGTTATATGTCAATCTGCTCACGAATCTCAGGTTATCATGTTCCGCTCATATCTTCAACACGTACTGATTACATTTTGTCCTGGAAAATTTGGCAATCCCGAGGAGCATCTACGAAACGTGATATAAAAACCTTATCAGTGACTGCACTAGCTTTTGAACCATGCCCGAAGGCGTTTCTCTCCCAATGACTAATACACTCATGACTACTGAATATCCTCCTGGATAATTTATTTGCATTCCCGAAAAGCATCTTCAAACCCCTATTACTAACTGCCCTAAATGTCCCTGGTATTCCGACGATACGAGTATAGTAATAAAAAAAAAATTACCCGGATAGCTAGTGTTTTGATATGGGAAATTTCAGTCTTTCGCTGATTAAATGAAATTAAATGATATGAATTTATGTCACAAATAGCGATCCATTCAATCCGTATCAAGTGGTATAAAAACTGCCAGTTTGACATAAACCATTTCACTCACTAATTCGGTAGTGTGCTGACATCAGTTAGAAAGCTTTTTATATTGTTATTTCCTGGGATAGAGAGACATCAGTAGAAGGATGATGAGTACATAACGGGAGACATTCCGAAAAATACAGAGTACAGAGACATTTTGTCATAAGGACCAAAACACACTCATGATTTTTCCTGGAGAATCTTTATTGCATTTCCGAGTAACGTCTATAATGTCACATGGGATAAAAAGGGCACTAGATTCTCCAACGGTACTTATGTTACGTGTTACACGTGATCAGTAGCATTTCCACTGATGGAAAATGCCAACCCTGCATAAATTGACAACCACTGATTACATAGACTGAACTGTTCATTTAGACAAAATATCAAGAAAAACAGTGATTTAAAAATATTCCTGATATCAAATAAAAAGGACAAAATGATTTGTTATCATGTGGGGAAATATACAGCTTACTATTCTGGCAATTTAAGGGAAGAAGGGGTTTACAGAGCCGCATATGCCTACTGAGAAAATCCAGAAGCATGATCAATCAAGGTCAACATTTCAAAGCGTGACATGTGCTGAATTAAGATCAAGATGAAGATGATTTATTTAACTAAAGGCCTCCGGCCCTTATTTAAAACGAGAGTACAAAGAGATGATATGAGTGAGTACAACACGGCTATAGAAATGCACTGTATACAATACATCTGTGCAGATAATGTTACAAAGTGGGTGTACACAATTACTTTACGAAGTGACGTCACAATACTACAAGATGCTTGCGCCGACAAAGTGCATGGTGAACAAATAGTGCTAACTTAAGAACCTTGTTTCCATCATTAGAATTCAACAGAGATTTACATGGCTACATATTTAATAAATATATATTTGTCTGTGAGTGAGTGAGTGAGTGAGTGAGTTGGGTTTAATGCCGCTTTAAACAGTATTACAGTTATATCGCTGCGTGCCAGCTTAATGTTGGAGGAAAGCCCGATGCGATGCAGGTCTCAGACGTTTACCACTTCAGTGAAACCCACGAGCACAGATATGGTGCTGACAAACCTAGAAACATAATCGGGGTGAAGCGGGATTCGAACCCACAATCATAGGTTTCTGGCGTGCCCAAGGGACGCAACTGTGCACAGCGAATCGGGCGCATAGACGACTGGGCCACCCGTGCCCCAAGGTATTTCGGTTGTATATAAACAGTACCAACAAGCAGTATATGAAATTCACCCTCTGTAAAGTTTGACAGAAAGGACACAATCTCATTGGCTTCAGTGTGGAACGATGTCGTCCAATGTTAACCATTATGTCAGACAAACCGAGTCGAAATCGTGAATAGGTAATGCGCAGAGATTTGCATCTTATAACATGTAAATACAATTCAGGTTCAATTAACGATTTGAACGATCTGTAGATGGCGTACCTTGAACTGTTTTCAAGTGTCGATCTCCAGTCCTGCTGAAACATATCCAGTGACTTTCTATGAAATAATCTTAAAAAATAACCGACACCTTGATACAACCACAGATAACCGAAACTGTGATAAAATAGCCTATAACGAATATTTGATGCTCATGTTGCGTACCCAAGATTGTTCGGATTAAGTATATTTTTGAATGCTTTTCTAGGCAGGCGGTCTTCGTGTATTTCTAAACATTTGAACCAGTACCCCAAACTTCTGAGGAGTATAAAAGGATCGACTGTATTTGGGCACCATATAGCTTAAAATAAACTCCAGGTGGAACAGGTTCTAATTTGGATACAGTGGTAAGTAACATGA